CCCCCCCAAAAAAAAATTCTTAATACATCTTACAGTAAGAGTTAAATGCAACACAGCAAAAGAAAAAAAAGGCATTTAACATTTTATCCCTTTAGTCTGATAGGTAATATACACAAGTATTTTTGGGGGAGAGGGGGGAGTGGGCCTGAACTCAGGGCCTGGGCACTGTCCCAGAGCTCTTTTGCTCAAGGCTCATACACTACCATTTTGAGCTACAGCACCACATCCTGTTTTCTGGTGGTTAATTGTAGATAAAGAGTCAAGTAGACTTTCCTGCCAGGGAAAGACCATGATCCTCAGATATCAGCCTCTGGAGTTGCTAAGATTACAGGTATGAGCCACCAGTGCCTGGCTCTTCATGTTATTTTATTTAATTAAAAAAATTTTTTTTTGGGCAGGGGGTCTGGTCATGGGGTCTGAACTCTGGGCCTGAGTGCTATCCCTCAGCTCTTCAGCTCAAGGCTAGCGCTCTACCACTTGAACCACAGTGCCACTTCTGGCTTTTTTATTTTTGCTTATGGGGTGCTGAAGAATCGAACCTAGGGCCTCATTCATGCAAGGCAAGCGCTCTACCACTGAGCCACCTTCCCAGCCCATTATTTTATTTTTTGCCAGTACTGGGGCTTGAACTAGGCCTGGGCACTGTCCCTGAGCCTTTCCGTGCTCAAGGCTAGCACTTTACCACTGGAGCCAAGCTCCACTTCTGGCCTCTTCTGTTTATGTGGTACTAAGGAATCAAACCCAGGGCTTCATGTATATTGGAAAGCTTTCTACCACTAAGCCACATTCCCAGCCTTCATGTTATATATTTTTTAGAACAAAACATATGTAGAAAACTGGTTAATTTGAGTGCCAGTAGCTCATGCTTGTAATCCTAGCTACTCAAGTTGCTGAGCTCTGAATGTAGCAGGGAAAAGTTCATGAGACTTCTATCTCCAATTAACCACTAAAAAGTTGGAGGTGGAGCTGTAGCTCAAGTGGTAGATGGCTAGTAATGAAGGAAGAAGCTAAGGGATGCGACATAAACCTGTCTTCAAGCCCTAGTACTCCCACACACATACAAATACTGTGGGCCTGGATATAGCTCAGTAGAAAGAGCGTACACAAACAAGGAACTGAGTTGGATCCTCAGCTTCTCAAGGAGGAACAGTGCAGCTGCTTATGAAGCTGTGGCAGGAGGGTTGAGTTCAAAGCCAGACCCATCTACAAAAACAACAACAACAACAAAAAACACTTGAGTGCTGATGGACTATGCCTCTAATCCTAGCTAATCTGGGAAGCAAAGATGGAAAAGATTGCTGTTTCAGGCCAGCCCTGGCAGAAAAGTTCACGAGACCTGATCAACCAATAGCTGGTATACAAGACATCCTAGTGATATGTAAAGCTGTTGTAATCAAGACTGTGGTTCCTAGCAGGGCACTGGTGGCTAATGCCTTTAATCTAGCTAGCTACTCAGGAGTCTGAGATCTGAGGATAACAGTTTGAACCAACTCAGGCAGGAAAGTCTCCATGAGACTCTCATCTCCAATCAACCATCAGAAAACTGCACTCAGGCCCACAGTTCAAGCCCCAAAACGATCCAGAAAAGACCATGGTTTCAAGCCAGCCTAGGCAGAAAACTTTGGGAAATTCCATGAAAATAGAAGCTGGGTGGGTAGCTTGTCATTTTGGGCTATAACAGGAACCCTTTAAAAATAAGCAGATCAGCTGGGTGCTGGTGGCTCAGGCCTGTAATCCTAGCTACTCAGGAGGCTGAGATCTGAGGATCCCAGTTCAAAGCCATCTGGGGCAGGAAAGTTGGTGAGACTTTTATCTCAAATTAACCACCAGAAAACCAGAAGTGGCACCGTGGCTCAAGTGGTAGAGCGCTAGCCTTGAGCTGAAGAACTAAGGGACAGCACCCAAGCCCAGAGTTTTAAGAACCACAAGCGACCCTCCGCCCCCCCAAAAAAAGTGCAGATCACAGAGGATCATGATTCAAATATAGCCCAGGCAGTTAACTCTGTGTCAACTAGTTCTTCCAATTAAGCAGCAAAAGTCCAAAATAAAGCTGTTACTCAAGTTGTAGAGCACTAGACTTGAGCAAAAGAGGACAGCGCTCAGGCCCTTAATTTACGCTCCTGTACTAGCACAAAAAGAAATCACCACCTGAGGGGCTGGGAAGGTGGCTCAGTGGTAGAGTGCTTGCCTTGCATGCATGAGGCCCTCAGCACCTCATAAGCAAAAAGAAAAAAGCTGGAAGTGGCGCTGTGGCTCAAGTGGTAGAGTGCTAGCCTTGAGCTGAAGGACAGCACCCAGGCCCAGAGTTCAGGCCCCACGACCGGACCCAAAAACAAAATTAAAAAAAAAAAAAGAAATCACCACCTGAACAAGAAGTGAAACTAGTTGCACACTGGTGGCTCCTGCCAGTACCCTAGCTACTCAAGAGACTGAGATCTAAGGATTGCAGTTCAAAGCCAGCCCTGGCAGGAAAGTCTATAAAACTGTTAACTTCAATTAACCACCAGAAAACCAGAAGTGGCACTGTGACTTGTGATTCAAAGTGGCAGAGTGCTAGACTTGAGCAAAAAGGTTCAGGAACAGTAGCCAGGGCCTAAGTTCAAGTTCCATTGCCAACAACTACCACAAAAAGGAAACATTCAGTGCAAAACCAGGGCTGGAGACATGATAAACACTACAGCACATTCCCAGCAAGTGTGAACCCAGGTTCAACCTCACTGAAAACGTTAAATGTATATAAAACTTTCTTGGCACCTACCCAAGTCATTGCAAGTCAGGATATGGTAAAGACACCTGTGTATTTATGTTCACTGTTGCTCTTTTCACAATAGCTAAGTTATAGAAACAGCCCAAGATCCAACAACAGATAAATGGCTAAAAAAAGTGGCATTTATATGTGTAATTTTACTCATCCATTATAATTAAGATTGTGTCATCTGCAAAGAAATGGATGGACTTAGAACAAGCCATACTGAGGTAAACCAAACTCAGAGACACAAACAGCATAGGTTTTCTCTCATATGTGGAAGTTACATCTAAACTATAACTGGATATAACCTATGTAGGACATCTATCTAGGCATATTCACACATAGACTACATGATACACTGAGGGGAGAACCCCAAAGTTCAGAATATGGAAACATTTTTTGTTATTGTTGATGATATTTGTTTTGGGGGGTAAAAGGGGAATACAGAAATAGAGGAAGGATGAAAAAATATAATCATGCTATTCAGTATACATTACATGGAAAATGATCTATGTAACTTGTGGGCAGAAAAAAGGGGAAAACTACAGGGAAGTGAAGAAAAGGGAGACACTCTCCAATAAAAAGAAATGCATGCCAGGGCCCGATGGCTCATACCTTTAATCCTAGCCACTCAGGAGTCTTGAGATTGGAGGATCCTGGTTCAAAGCCAGCCTGGACAGGAAAGGCTGTGAAACTCTTATCCCCAATAAGCTACCAGAAAACAGGAAGTGACACTATGGCTCAAGTAGGAGAACTCTTTCCTTGAGCAGAGGAGCTGAGGGGCAGTGTTCAGGGCCAGATTTCAAGCCACATGACATTAAAAAAAAAAAAAGTAACACCTCTGTACGACGTGGAAAGTAGGGCCTGGTGGTGCACACCTGTAAGTCTAACTACTCAGGAGGCTGAGGACTATGGTTTGAAACCAGCCAGGGCAGTGAAGTTCCTGACACTCTCATCTCCAATTAACTATCAAAAGGCTGGAAGTCAAACTGTGACTAAAGTGATGAGTACTAGACTTGAGCAACAAATCTCAAGACCACTGTCAGCATTTTTTTTTTTTTTTTGCCAGTTGTAGAGCTGAATCTCACTGAGACTTTTCAGCCTGGGCTGGCTTTGAACAAGGATCCTCAAATCTTCACCTCCAGATTATAGGCATAAGCCACCAGCACTTAATGACATTTTTAAGGCCTTTTTTTCATGTTTGTTTCAAAGCAGCATATAGGTCACCCCTACCTCTTGTTTCATCCTAAGTATAGCAGAGTGAAAAAGTTAGCATGGCCAAAAAACTCTGGGTAAGGCTTTATCATTAAAAAAGAAGGTCTATGTACAACTATATGTACAAAAAGTACTGTATCGTATACAAACCCAAGCATTATGACTTAAGATCTCTATAAGAAATTTAAGGAAATCATAAAGATTAAGGTATATATTTGATACATTAGAAACTACAATTTAAACATTAATATGTCTCAATTAACATCTATAGAGATTAGATTGGATTATATGACACGAGACAAATCTTTCTTCTTTTCCATGCCAATACACATTTCCTTAAACAAAATCTCAGAAAACAAGAATTTTTGTTCTGTACATGGGAAAAACTAAAACCTTTATTAGATACTTTTTTCCAGTAACAATAATGTGAAACCTGGAATTTTCAAAGAGCAGTGAGTTCTGAAATCTTATAAAGTAGACTAGATATAATGGGACAAATAAAAGTTAAGACCAGAATGTCAATAGTATTCAGAGCTCCACTCTGTAGACAACGTTGTAATACACAACTCCATTTTTATTTTACTGATTTTATATAATTGTGAAATCCCCTAAAGCAACCTAAGATACACTTGGTGTCCAACTTTGGGGGAAAAGGGAGTAGAAACACACTTGATTAACATTTTTCAGCCACACAGACATTTTTTTCCCCAAGATTTTAGTAGTAAATTCATAAATATAGGAAATACTTTCACTCCTTCAATGTTAAAATAGAAAACCAAACAGTGCCAACAGCAGTGGCTAAATTACTGGTATACAAGAAAAACACAACACCAATGAGTTTTCTTAATTATGCATTTTAAATATCAATATGTGCATTTCATTTTACAGTTATAAATTTTCTAATCTGTTTTAGACAACAGCATGTAGTAGTTTTGAATCCACTGAGATGTTGCTTTCAATTTGAAATATTTGTGTATACATGTATATAAAAAATAATCCAATGTATGAGTCATCCTACAGATGTTTAAGATCAGTAAAAGCTTTTTTTTGAACATGCAGTTAGGAAGAGAGGGAAGCAACCCAACCTCTCTACACTGTCCTGTTGCTGGCTTGTTTTTGCAGTGGTATCAATAGTGGTTTTGGGAGGGAACCATGTGCCTTCAGCCTAAGTAGTTAACATCAGATACCACAATCTTCAAGAGGGGTAGAAAACATGGAGAAAGGGGAATAGGCCGGTTTAAAAGAACAAATGAAGTGTGTATTTTGTGTACTTATACAAGATAAAAACAGGCCAATGGGAAGGAGATAATTAAGAACAAAAGTGCAATCAAATCACGACATAATAGCCGAATTAAGTTCTTTTAATAGATTGCATATATAGATGGTTAGCCATACTCTAAGATCACCTCTTTAAGAGTAGAACTTCATATATCCAATTTACATGCTTCAGATACTACCTTTCCTATTTGTTACAGTAAGGTCTTATATCCAAATATCCACTTGTACACTGAGAGCTTTAAGGAAGAAAAAAAAAAAAAGAGGACACAGAGGGAGTTGCCATTTTTAGCAGCAATGAATATCACTAACCCCTTTTTACATACCGAATTCAAGTCACTATCAGAGGTGAGTGCACCACAAAGTTACCAGGTACAAAATTGCTAGTTCATTTTTAAATTAATAATTAACCTGAAATTACCCCACCCCCACCCCATTATATCCCTTCTTATAAACAGCAAACATTTTTGCTTTTATACATAGGCTAGCAGGCTTGTTTCAATATGAAAGTGCTAATTCATTTACAGATTTTTAAATCAGTTATGTAGTGCTACAATAAATGTCCAATAATCTACACGGGAACAATCTTTGATGAATGAAATGATGAAGAGAATGAATAAGGCTATCAGATTACCTTATCATATTTACATATAAAGGTTACCCAATGGTAAGAGACAGAAATTGAATACTCATAGGTGTAAAAATTACATCTACCTTTGAGATTTATACTGTAAATGAGACATTTTAAATAGTCCTGTAGCCCATGCCTATTTTTTTTCCTCAGAAAAAGAAAAGCTGCCTTCATGACATCCCCTCGTTTCAGATTTCCACAGTGTCATTTGAAGCTTCAGAGTCTGGATCTTACTTTCTTCAAAAAATAAAGAAAATTCCCCCTCCCCAAGTTTCCCTACCCTAATCCCTCTGGTTTTTCTTCCAGTGCCAGGTTGCATGATCAGGTCCCACCTCCTGGGGTTTTCTTGTCCATCTATTGATCAATTAGTTTAGAATAGATAACATGAACCAGTTCTGGAACCACTACTAGGAGGAACACAAGCTCTTCACTACAATCACACAGCAGGAAAGAAAGTGATATACTCAATTCATCCCTGGTGCTGGGCCTCCAAAATTAAAAGAACTTGGCACGACTGGAGCACTAAATTTGTATCCTCCATGCTTCTCAATCATTTTGGATTCTAGAAAACAAAAAAATGAAAACTTTTAGTCTTTCTCCAACTCCAAATGTGTACTATATAGAAGATAATCTAGTGTATATTATAGACTTTGTTCTGTTCACTATGTAAAAAAAAGTCACCTTATGTAAAGAATTTTATCCTATCAGACTAGCCAATTATGAGCAGACTGTGAACCTGAGCTCAACCAATTTAAGCTAAGAGGCAGGGTCTGTTTCCTTAGGGATGAATAGGGACACAGCTTGTGTTCTTGTTTGTCAGATTTTTGGTTGATGCCACAACCTTATGCAGAAGTAAATTTTCCATTGCTGAGACCAAAGACAAACCAACACCAAACAAAAACCCATGTCTGCAACAGAACTTTCCATTATCAAACCATCACCTTGAGCTGAAAAGCAATATTCAATCTCTACACAAAGTAGTCTTTCATTTATATATTAAAAATCAACAAACTATAAAAAAAAAAAACCAAGGTCATTTCTCCTAAACCTCTCAGCAGAATATCAAGCACCTGCAATAGCTATGTACCTTTGTATTAATTCATTTGGAATGCTAGAGAGGGACAAAAGGGTTTAGCATGTGTGAAGCAAGAATTTCACTCAGCTACACACATAGGCCACATGCCTTCAATGTTAAATCCTTTCATAAAATTTTAAAGCTTTACAAAGTAACAGACACACACACAGACACAGACAGACAGACAGACAGACAGACAGACACACACACGAATGAGAGGTTAATTTCACTCCCATACCATGGGCTGCTCTTCTTTGATCAGCTAGAGTTGCTATGTCCTGTAACTGTTTTCTTTGTTCTTCATTAAGACCATGAGTCAAAGCCTGGTACCACACAGGATTACGATTCTGAATAGCTGTGTTGAAACAAACAGGAGAAAATAGAGCATTATGATGTTCCTTTCTATTTTGTTCTCAATTCAGTCACATAAAATACTTAAAATTCTGCTCTATTTTATATTTCTCAAGGAATCAGGAATTTTAAGTGATTTTTGAAATGAGGGCTGGGAAGGTGGCTCAATGGTAGAATGCTTGCCTCGCATGCATTAGGCCCTGGGATTTGATTCCTCAGCACCATATAAACAGAAAAAAAGCTGGAAGTGGCACTGTGGCTGAAGTGGTAGAGCACTAGCCTTGAGTTCAAGCCCCACAACTAACAAAAATTTAAGAAAATTTAAAAATTAAAGTAAAAAGAAATGAAAGGGGACTGGGAAGGTGACTGAATGGTAGAGTGCTTGCTTTGCATGAATGAGGCCCTGGGTTCAATTCCTCAGTACCACATAAGCAGAAAAGGCCAGAAGTGGTGCTGTGGCTCAAGTGATAGAGGGCTAGCCTTGAGCTGAAGAGCTGAGGGACAGCACCTGGACCCAGAGTTCAGGCCCCACGACCGGCATAAATAATAAATGAATAAATAAATTTCTTGATGGATCCTACCAATTTTTTTAAAAAGATAATGGGGATAAGAAGTCCAGTTTACCTCCGGCCTTAAAAAAAAATCTAATTGCTCTCATAATTGGTAATAGATTGTCTACAACTCAGTTTTACACAAGTAATCAAATAAGACTTCAGGAATAAAATTAACTCCCTTCAAAGCTTCACAGTTAACCCAACTTAGGAAATGACCAAATTTCAAAAAAAAAAAAAATTAGTACTAAACTTAAAAAGATACTAAAAACACTAGGTAGAGACAGGAGAAAGATAAATGTTACAAAACAAATCCTTAATTTGTTTGGCCTACTCAAAAAAAATCAACCTTCCTTTTCTTTCTCTTTCTTTCTCTCTCTCTACCCCCTCCTCCCCTTCTTTTCTGCCAGTCCTAGGTTTGGCCCTACTAGTTTATGGCCCATCCTAGCTACTCAGGAGGCTGAGATGTGAGGGTCACTGTTTGAAGCCAGCCTGGGCAGTGAAGACAGTGAGACTCTTATCTCCAATTAACCAAAAAGCTGAAAGTGGAGCAGTAGTAGACTGCTAACATTGGGCAAAGAAGCTTAGGTATAGCACCTAGGCCCTGAGTTCAAGTCTTGGGATAGACACACTTTATTTCTCTTTCTCTTCCTCCCCCCACCCCCCATCCCTGCCTCTCTTTGTCAGTCATGAGGTTTGAACTCCACTTGGGCGCTATCCCTCAGCTCTTCATCTCAAGGCTAGCTTTTACCACTGGAGCCATAGCTTCACTTCAAGTTTTCTGAGTGGTTTATTGGAGATAAGAGTTTTACCTGGGCTGGGAAGGTGGTTCAGTGGGTAGAGTGCTTGTCTTGCATGCATGAGGCCCTGGGTTTGGTTCCTCAGCACCACATAAGCAAAAAAAGCCAGAAATGGAGCTATGGCTCAAGCAGAAGTCTAGCCTTGAGCTGAAGAGCTGAGGGACAGAGGCAAGGCCCAGAGTTCAAGCCTGACAACACACACTTTCCTGCTGGGAGATCCTCAGATCTCAGCTTCCTGAATAGCTAGGATTACAGGCAGGAGCCACCAACTCCAGGCTCCCACACTTTCTTAACATGCATTTCCTGACACGAGATAAAACTCAGTGATAGAGAGTGGTTGTTTTGAATGTATGAGGACCTGGTTCAAACCCAAAAACCATCAATTAGCCATTAGCCATTTTTTTGGGGGAGGTGGGTGGGAGGGGAGGTGGAGGGAAGGTCGGTCGTAGCTTGGGCACTATCCCTGAGCTCCTCAGATGAAGGCTAGCGCTCTACCACTTGAGTTACAGCACCACTTCCAGTTTTCTGAGTGCATTATTGTAGATAAGCCTCTCATGGACCTTTGCCCATGTTGGCTTTGAACTGCAATCCTCAGATCTTAGACTCCTGAGTAGCTAAGATTTACAGGCATGAGTTACCAGTGCCCAGTGCCATTTTATCTTCAATTGATTGAACTCTGGAAGTGACACGGTGGCTCAAGTAGTGGAGTGTTAGCCTTGAGCAAAAGAGCTCAGGGACAGTGCCCAAGCCCCAAATTCAAGCCCCATGACTGGGGAAAAGAAACAAAAACATGTTTATCAAGACAAAAGGCTTTACAATTTACTCTATTATGGACTTGTTCGGAAACCAAAAACAAAGGAAAAAAAAATTAAATGACAACTGTTTTGTCATGGTCTTAGAATACTTAAAACTTGGTTAACAGTTCTGTATCAAAGTTCTACCCCTACTCATTACCTGAGTTATGGAACATCCCTGTGTATCACTTTTATAGTAACAATAGAAAAAGAAAGTTGAGCTGGGAAGGTGGATCAGTGGTAGAGTGCTTGCCTTGTATTCATGAGGACCTGGGTTCGATTCCTCAGCACCATATAAGCAGAAAAAGCTGGAAGTGGCACTGTGGCTCAAGGGGTAGAGCTCTAGCCTTCAGCTGGAGAGCT